AAAGGCAGAAGTGTTGCAGTGTTTTAATTTTTCTCCTGCTATGATTCACACTACCTACCTTCAGCTGCTTTATCATTTTCCTTCCTTTGAGATGCTCCAAAGTCTTTCAATCCAGTTGTTCTGCTGCAGGAAGGGGCTGTAGGACTTAATACTATTGCTTATGGAGACATTCCCAGTGTCTGGAGGAGAGCACCTTCCAAGTGATGCACCCAAGACATGACCATCAGTAGGCTGAAAAATCTGTGCTTGTCAAAAATATTTTCCAGCAAGCACAGATCCTCTGATAATCTTAAGGGGAAAAGTTAAATATCAGTGAATTAATGAGAGGGGAGCCCTCTCTGTCCTTGCTGCAGTTCCTTGGGAGATGTCTGATACTGCTTCTCCCTTGTGTAGGTTCAGGTGTAACACTTTTTATCTGAAGTTAAGTGTAAAAAAATAAGAGGAAGGTGTGGGAAATCCTGGGTCTGGGTAGGAGGAGAGGTAGGAAATGATAATGAATGTAGCCATGCTGATGTCTTTCTTGGAGAAAGGAAAACAGGTGAGCTGCCCTTGCTTTACACTTGCTTAAAGATGTAGCTGTCCCACCGTGAATATAAGTTTCAGTCCCCAGTCTCGTGACCTGTAGGTGCCCAATCTTGCTGTCATGTTTTGTATTATCTATCTTCAAGGTAGTCACTAATGCCCATTCCCATAGCATCTAAGAGCCTCTAGATGAAAGCTGTGAAAGTGCAGTGGTGAGCCTGTGCATGACATGAAATTGTGTAACAGGGGAATAGATTAGGATAAGGGTAATACTTTGAGGGGACGGGGGCCATGTCTGTGGGAAATCTGTGAGCCTGACTCCATGGAGGCTTCACCTTCCTAGTGCTGCATCAACAGTGAAACCTTTTGTAAAGAAGAAGAAATCTCTCAGAGGACCCCACCAGCTGCATTCAGAAATCATGTTTGCTCTAACAAACGCTGGGGTGCTCGGAGCCTTTCCAGCCTATGTTACCTGCAAATTTGTTCTCAGTCCCCCATCCTGCATCACTTACTGTCCTCCCCCCTTCCAGGCAGAGGGAGCTCAGGGAGTGTGTGAAGACGAGAGGTGGCTGAGGTCAGGATGGTGTCATCCTTCTGTTCCCCCTCCAAGCTGCTAATGTATGCTTCTGGAGAGCCACACAAACTGAGTAATTACTGAATTACGGCTAGATCAGAAGTGGTGACCTCAAAGACAGAAGGAGACTCTCCATCTCCATTTGTCAGTCCCCTTGGGGTCAGAAGGACAATTTTTCGCTGGCATCTGTGAGGGGGGGAAAGGGAAGTGCAAGGTAAGCCTTACATTAAGGCATAACAGGGGAAAAAATGTTTGCTTTAGCCATTGCAGCATTCATGTGCAGTAAGATGCAGCATTGCTTGCATGTGTGTAATGACAGCAGCACTGGTGGGAGCAGTGGCACTAACCCAGAGGGCTACTCAGGGGACTTCATTTTGCTCAGAATTGCCCATCCATCATAGAGGAGGGTGCCAAGTCTTGAGGCCATTTCCCTGCCATATTTGTGCCTCTATCCTCAAAAGCATTTTGATTAGGAGATGGCAAGGAGGATGTAGGTAGGATTTGGAAAGTTTCTGTTGTGGTAGGACCATGGTGGCTCTGTACAGTTTATGACCGAGCTGATTTTCTTACACTAAAAGCAGAGACTTCAGTCTTTCTTACAACTGTGGTGTAGCACATCTGCTGAATTTATAGCACTTACTCTTGGATGATGGAATGTATTTGCTGGAAATTTGCATTCAAACCTGCTTAGTTCATTGTGTTGATTGTAAAATTGATCCTTTATGTGTTGTGGGGATTTTAAAAATTTTTTTAAAAATTGGTTTTGGGTGGGTTTTTGTTTTGTTTTGGTTTGGTTTCTGTAACCATTTTTGGCCTTAAATCCGTGGGGTTTTTTCTTCTTTTCAGAATTGAAGGGTGAGAGCGTATAGATGCAACTGAGGACTTCACCCTGAAGTAGAAAGGTGTGCATGGATGTTAGATTTCCACCCTGATCATGTGTGTGGGATTGTAGCCTAGTAGCATGATGGGGTTACTTTCGTCATTAGTCCTAGGAATGTTTTGTATGTAACAATTTTTTTGTGTAACTGACAGTGGTCAAGTAGGTAGATGTCCCTGAATGGCCAAGTCAGAAGGTTGAATTTCTTCCTTTTGGAAAGAAAATGAAATGTTCAGTGGCAAAGGAGAACTTGGCAATGTGAACAAGGTGTACTAATGACAGTGGTTTTTCATCTGGAGTCTGCAGACAGCCAAAAATTAGTTTCTGAGAGAATTAAATTATCCATTAAGCTCAGTGGGGTTGTACGTTGAAGCCTGATAGATCACTTGGAAAGCTGCAAAGGATATGGCGTCTCTCCTTGCGTGATATTTAACAAATATAGTTTTGATAATTTTGTTTACATTATGCACTTAAATTGACCCTGTGTATTACCAGTGATGCCTACTGTAATGCAACAGCTGATGATGATGATGTGACAATTGCCTGCATTTATAGCATGAGCTCTTTTAAAACTTCAGTTCATCCTTCAAAATCAGCCATATAGTTTTCAAGCTTTTAAATATTTTAAAAAGCAACTCCTGTTGTATTTCCCTTGTAACACCTACAAAGTAGTCATAAGGGAGATGGGAAATGCTGCTCTGCAGCAGACTAGACATCCAGATATTGAACTCTGTGAACTCACTTATTTTTGGTCCTTTGAGAGATATTTGACTTGGGAATGGTGGCTGTCCTTGTATTTTTATATGCATTTTTGAGCATTTTACAAAACTTCTGCTATTTATGCTGCAACTTCATTTTAGACATTAGGTAAAAAATACCTTGTTATAACAAGCTTATCTAGATAAGGCATGCTGTCATGTTTTTATTTATACCAAAGGGTTTTACCTTAAGGTAAGTTTAAGTTTAGCTTTAGTTAGAGTGCTCTAAGCACTCCTACCTTACAAATCTACATAAAGGATTGACCTCAATTGATGCTTCACTACAAAATCAGAAAACAGATAATGGAAAACCAAATTATAAAAATCTTATCGAGTTCCCCCACCCCATTACAGCTTTTATCACAGTCCTGGATCCCCAGGGGGAATGCTGCTCTAACCAAGCTCTTAGCATGCCGTGGCAGTCAACAAGATTAAGGCTGTTTCTGACGAGAGCAACCTCGGGTTTATCACGGTGAATGTGCTGTGGGAGCCTCTGTCCAGGCGAAGGAAGCGATGACCTCCACGTCATGTGAGCGAAGCAGCGTGCCTGAAACCCCCCCTGTGAATGGGCAGCCAGTGCCCAGGAGAGCAGGGCATACAGTACTGCCAGGGCTTGCAATGAGGCAGCGCCTGCGTGCTCCAGCTGCAATTTCCAGGGAGATGATGCGGAGAGCTTCGCAATATTCTCATCTGAAGGAGACAAGGCATAGATCACAGCAGTAGACTCGCTTCAGAAAGGAGCCAGTGCCTCTCGAGTTCCAAGATGAGTGAACAGAGGAGCAGGCAAGTCTTTCCTAGATGCTCCAGGTGCACGATTGCCTGACCAGCAGCTGGGGAGTCCCTAACACCCACAAATTGTTAACTCGAAAGACAAATGGTAGGAGCACATGTAATTGTTGTCTGCTCTGGTTGCTTTTCTTCCAACTACTGGCATCATTTTAGGCTTATCTAGATGGAATTTCAGCTAGCCTCCAAATTATTTTTGACAGATAATGCATGGTATGAGATGTGGTGGTTTGTATTTATTTTTCAAAAAAAGCGAGGCACCTGTGGAGGAGCCATCAGTGAAGTTGTCAACTGGCTGTGCTTACAACACAGTCCTCAGCAGTTCATCGCCTTTTGGATGAGCTCTGAGCAGAGGCCTACTCTCGGAATACGGCTTGCTGAGGATCTGGGAAACAAAGCTTGGGAAACAGGGCAGTTATTGAAAGTGTCATATCTGCTCAGTAAAGTTCCTGGCAAAGCAAGTTTTAAATGCCGCTTGAGCTTTCTCTGCCCAGCACTTAAGAGCTTTGCAGACTGCCAGCCCTACTGCGTTTTCACGTGAAATGTTCTGAGTGGCAGATGGAAGAAACTGTAATGTCATATAGAGCTTCCTTTGCTGGCATACGGGCTTAAATGAAGGAGGTGATGATTTGACAGGCACTGCATCCTGGCTCTACTGCTACCCCATCCACAGCCTCCTCGCCCTCTCGCTCTCAAACCCAAAAACTCGTGAATGATCTGAAAAAAGCTTCATTATCTCTCCAGCACAGAAGTGCAACTGGACACCCCGGACTCCCAAATGCAAAGGCGGTGGGGACTCGGAGAGCTGGCAGTGCCACCTCTGATGGCCCGGGAGGCTCTGGGCTGGCGGTCGCGGCCGGGCGGGCTGGGGGCAGGAGAGCCCGAGCACCGCCGCCTCCATGTTGTTTCCTGAGATCCCCGCGCCTCCGCTGAGGCACCTCCGATTCGGGGCCCGCCCAGCCCCGCCGTACGGTCCGACTGCCGCCTCGGGGTGTGCTCCAGGGCTCCGGGCCCGGCCATCGCTGTACGCGTCGGGGCTGACGAGTAGGCCGGGGGGAGACAAGTGGGCAAACGGAGCAAAGCCCGTTCTTAAAATGACCTGGGGGAGGGTGAGGGTGGCGGGGGGGGTGGAGAGAGGCGGTATTGATTTACGAGGAGAGGGAAACGCGAGCTGCCCCGGTGCCTGCCCCGAGGGGCGGGGGGCGGCGCGGAGCCCCGGTCCCCTCCGTAGGGGCGGGGTGGGGCAGCACGAGCACCGGGCGCGCCTCGCCCACGTGCTCCGGGCGCGCGGGACGCGGTGGGGGGGGGGGCGGCGCGCGGCTCCTTTAAGCGGGCGCGTGGTGGTGGGAGGGGCGGTGGCTCCCTCACGCGCCCCCCCCACCTCCGCGCGCGCGCGAAGGCACGTCCCTGCTCGCGGGGGCGCGCGCGCACGCGCTCCCCCTCCCCTCCATCCCATCCCTCCCTCGGCCGGCCGGGACCCGCCGCCTCGCGCCGCCGTTCCCGCTGGCGCGCGCGCTGGCTCTACCGCCGCCCGCCACCATTGGCTGCCGGGGGTCAGGTGACCCCGTGTTATTTCCTGTGTGTGTGTGAGGTGTGAGTGAGGGGAGGAGGATGGAACCGGACGCCCCCGCGCCCCCGCCCGCCCCCCGGCCCCGCCGCCCCGGCTGCTGAGCCGCCCCGCCCCGCCCGCCGCGGCGGAGGGCGCCGGGCACGGCGGCGGGGGGGGGTCTCAGGTAAGGGGAGGCCGTGCCCTCCCGGGCTGTGTCGGTGTGTGGGGGAGGCCTGGGGAGCGAGTGCGAGCTCCTGGCGGGGGAAGCCGAGGTCGCTTGGGCGTGTGGGAGGGGATGTGAGGGGCTCATCCGTGAGTTGGAGGGCGAGCGCTGGGTACGAGGGGGCTTGTGAAGGGGCTCCTGGGAAGTTTAACCTTCTCTTTCCCCCGCCCCCCCTTTTTTATATATTTTTTTTCTTTAAAGAAAAAAAAATGTTTGTTTACGTGTGTTCGAAGACGCCCTCGTGCTACCTGGTGGAGTGCCCACCTGTTTTCCTGTCCCGGAAGAACGTTTTTTTGCAAGAATTGAGAAGTTTTTGTGGGATTTGGTGTTTTCGTTGAAGAGATAAACGATTAAAACTGTTGGAGAAGATGGATGCACAGTGCTCAGATTGTAGTAGGTGGACAGGCTGTTTTGGGAATGCTTGAGGTTTGTAGTGCCTCTCTGCTTTTTGGAGATTCAACGTAGCTGTTGCTTATCTGCTGAGATAATCAGGATATAATGTGTTTGGGCTGCTGTGAGGATCAGTTTGTCTTTTCTTAATGGTGCTTACCTTGCTGGAAGTTGTGTTTAGGGCTGCAGTTGGAAGTCATTTTTCCTGCCTTGAGGGAAGGAGTAAGAGAAAGTTATGTAACATAAGTGTTCTAACCTATGTATCAGAGCTGCCTAATGGTACCGGGGCTCTGTTATTAACCTGAAAATAAGAGCACGTTTGTGTGTGTGAATCAACAAGTGACTGTCTCTGGGTAGATTTGGCTCCACCAGAATCCTTTATTTCTTGTGCATACTGTCTTTTCCTTCATTAAAAGGGCAGGCAGTTTGATTAAAATGCAGCATTGTTTTCTGTACCATTTCGTGGTTTTTAAGTCTTCCTTTGAAAACAAAAGAAAAAGGAGAGGTACACCTGTGAGGGGATTGAGTTTCAGAGCTTTCTGTGTTTAGGTTAGCATTTTGAAAGCTATTCATGTCTGTGTCGCTTGTTGCCATCTGTTGCTGCATGCATGGGTAGTTCTTTGGAGAGTATGATTTTTAGCATGCTTCCTGACCAATAGATGTGCATGGAACAGTTGGATCACCTCTGCTCAGATTTTATAGAACAATGAAGTGACTGGATGATGGAGATGCAGCAGCTTCTGGGTTGGGTTTGTAGCACACTGGCTGAACTCAATTCAAGAAGAGCTGATTTCTTTTACACATTTTCTAGACTTCTTTTGTCAGATAAGCTTGTTTTTCGAGGCTTAATGGATATTATGCAGCCTAACCAAGTGCACTTGGTTAAGTGTATGTGATAAACAGTTTTTAGTATTGTTATTTGAGTTTTAATTTGCATGAAATGTTTCTGGTTGGGGTTTTTTTGTTTTTTTGTTAAATCTGCATCTTTAAATAGGGTTCCATGTTACTTCACTTTGAGTTGTTTGAAGCTGTATTATTTAATCTTAAGATTAGGTTCCACTGGCGTTTAAAAAGGCAGTTGCATTAGTATACTGCAGAGAGAATTACTGTTAAGAAAAGGGAAAAGATTTATTTGCTCAGTCATCTGTCTCCTAAACTTTGTTAATGCTACAAGGAGAGGAGGATAGTCATTCCTCATTTCTGTAAATTGCTGTTACATGAAATGCATATTGTGTATTCTGGTTAAATGAACAAGCAAGTTATGCTATTTGAGTGAAAGTATGACAACACTTTTTATATTAAAAATACTACTTTCCTCTTGTACTCTTTTAAATCTTGTAGTTTTGGGATAGCTTTTGGGCTTTGTATTGTTAGGTTGAAATGTCTAGGGGGAAGTTCTTGGACTTTTTTGCTGGTTTGGTACTCTTCAGATTACTTAGCTTTAAGTCTCTTAGCATCCTTTCTAGTAGAATTGTGTGTGTTTTGACACAATTTGGGTTTTGACCTTTAAATCAGTTTTCAGAGGTTTGGGGATTGATGAAACATGGCTTTTTGCTGAAACATACTTTCCTATACCTTTGCAGCTTTGGGCAGGTTAAGTGTGGTTCCCTGTATGGAAGCTGTAGGAGCAGCTTCATCGTTTGTGACTTTGATAGGAGATCAGGAATTTTTGGTTTTATTGTAATTTCTTTTCTTTGTTACTAATGCCGCGTAAAAATAGCCTGAAGTGAACTTTTATTAAAGGAGTAAATGTGTTTCTATAATGCATAAATAAGAAGTGAAAGTTATTTAAATGAAAGAGAACTTATTTGTGTATTAGTTGTAAAGGAGACCTCGTTTTATTGTCAGAAGCTTCCTTAATCTTCAGCTGAAGAAATAGGCTGTTACTAACCTGTTGGCTACATTTTAAAGGGTACTCAGAATGTGAGTAAAAACATTCTTAATGGCTCTGTGCTTGATACATGTATGAAGTTTGTAGGACAGAGAGTGAAATGTGTAGGATTTTGAGGTTTTTTCCCCTCTCCCACTTCCTGTTGTGGAAATGTGTGCAAAGACAACCTTTTTGGGCTCTTAGGACAATGTTAAAAAGAAAATAATTGCACAACCCCTTTTCTCCCTCTGTAGGTCACGTTTAACTAACCCACCCATTGGGCACAGCAAGATGGCAACAGTGCTGCTCTTGGAAGGGGCCCTTCCTCAGAGTTGCACTTCCTGTTGCTATTGGACAGCTTGGCATGCTGCTGTCTGGAGTGAGGGCATAATATGTAATAAACTTGAATAATTTCATGCTGCTTCCTTGGCTTCTCTATAATTTGAGATAAGGGTATTTAAGAGTTTATAGCTGGCTTCTGTATATTTTGCCTTTTGACACAGAGTGTGCAAGATCTCCATTTGGGTGGGATAGGTTTTTAATTAAAGCATGTATTTTTTCATACCTTGTTCAGTTATGCTTTATACTTATGAAAGGTTTTACACTCATGTTTTGGGAACCTGAGTTCTTATAAGTTACAAAGATGTAGTAATGCTTTTGGTAATGCTGACTTCTCAGACTTCAGAGTGTGCCTTAACTGGCTGTGTGAGAATTTGTGTTACTTAATCCCATGGTAGGCCTCTGAAATGGGGAAGATTACAGATGGCAGTTTCTGAAGAGCCAACTAACTGATTTGTTGGTGGAGACTGGACTGAGACCAACCAACTCTTCCCATTCAGGAAATTAAAACTGCAGTTTAATAGCAAAAGATGTTTATTATTGACTGCTTTTGGTGAAATCTCTTTGAAAGTAACATTTTAATTTGTGGTTTAGCTTTTGGACTTCTAAAATCAAAAATAAATGGAGTCTTAAGTATTTAAACCCACTTCTCATAGTGTTGACATGCTATGTAGAATTTTCTTTATTGTAGAAAAGCATTTAGTGTTACTGATAGAGAACACAAACATAGTGTAAGCAGACGTATATACTTCTCTAAAATCATTCAGGAGAGAGGCTATTCCTGTAGTGGCATCCTGATGTTCAATTCTGTTCCTATCAAACTTTTCTTACTTAAAAAAGGAAAATAAAAGGTGGTTCAGTTATTATTGCCTGGGTCCCATTCCTGATGGTTCTTGAGTAGACTTCAGTCTTGACTGAACTGGGAGAACTGAAGATGTCTGCAGCCATGTACAGCACTGCTGGTGCCTCTGTATCACACTGGTGTCTGGCTGCACCACTCCTTGATTGCTTCAGCTGAGTCTTTCCGCTTACCACTAAAATATATATTGATTTGTTTGGGGTCACTTGGCAAAGCATGTGACATTCTTCATTATGCATGTACATGGGTTTCCTTTCATTTTAAGAACAGGAAAGGACAAAAATAAAAAGCAAGACCCAAAGACTCAAAAATCAAGATGGACATGTAGTCAACAGTGGATTCTGTTTGGCCCTGTTGGAGGATAAGATCTGCTCTGGGTCTTCTGTGCTTTGCTGCCTGTTTGCCTTTGAAGACAAATGAAAAGTAGAATTGCATTTTACCAACTCTTGAACTTCTTGCTGCCTTCATGAACAACAGCACAAGCACAAGTCAAACTTCCAGTTTTGGTTACAACAGAGCAGTGATCTTGCAGTAAGACTCCTGTTTCTTCTTGCCTCTTCCCAGTGATTCCTCAAGAGTGGAGCTAAGCAGTGGTAACCAAAAGTGCAAGCATCCTCTTGTCAGCTCAGCCTGGTGACAGTGAATATGCTTGTGTTTCTTCCAGTGCTTTTTGTATTTCTCTTTTAGCACAGTCTTTGTAACCTGTGATGGTATTGCAAGACGCGGGGGAAAGTGTTACCAGGTTCTTTGTTGGGGAGCCCTGGCTTGAGTCCCTTGAGATTTCACCTGTTCTCCATTTGGGAAGGCTGTTATTTCTTGTCTGAATTGTGATGCAACAAATAGAAAAAAGCTAGGAAAATTTTCTTTCCCCCTACCTCTTCATTACAAGCACACAGCATGCCTATGTTGATACCAATAAATGTGTATGGAATTCATTGTGTATTCTGTGCTGGAATATGATGACTTATTTTGTAGTATTTTACTAGTATGAACTCAGTCATCTAATTGCTAGTAAATTGCAAATCCTAAACAGAACCCTCTGATGAGCTCTGATAAGAGCTCAGTACTTAGCTAAAAATTGTATAGGGAGCTGCTATGCTGGAAGCTTTAGTACAGTTTATTGGAAATATTGTTCATATCACTTTCTTTGTAAAATTAGATGCTGCAAAGTGTCTTTTTAATAGCTTTTAACTGATCTAAAGACTTGATATTAGCAAAGCTAACTGAATGGCTTGTGTCCATGTACAGCATCACTAATGACTGGGAAAAAGCATACCTAAAACTTATTAGCTGAAAGAAAAATATGTGCTGTCATACTTGCCAGAATGGGCATAACCCTTTGTACACCATAATGAAATGTTGTTAATCAACCTTCAATTCAATATCTGCAATTTGCTGTTACCTTTGCTCATATTCCTGGATACTCTTGAATTTCCCTGGGGTTTGATTTGTTTAACAGTGTTTTTCTATGAGTAGATGTTCTGGAATAGTGGAAATGCTGTA